CAGAGGGCTTTTATAACAAATGTGGAGAAATTCTGGAGGGCTGTGATTTTTCCAGTATTAAACATGCATGTGTTGATCTTGCAGTTTATTTCTCATTGTGTATGTATATATAGCTTTTCTCTGCAGCACGATTCCCTTTTGATAATGCCCTTCTGGGCACAACTAGTTATCAGTAACTGAATGTATCTTAATCATTATGGCTGCTTCTGTTTGTTTTCTCATTAACAAAGGTTATACATATGTTGTTAGCATATAGTTTCTTTGCACCACTATTTATGTCTGAATCATTTGTCACAGGAGAATATGTGCTGTTGAGATTCTAAATCTGTGTTTTTTTTTCTTTTTAGTTTTTTTTCTTTTTATTTTGCAAGGGAAAGAAAAGCTGAATTCATTTCACTGCTGACTGCAAATTTCTTTCAGATTACTGTTCATTGGTCTGTGTGTGCACAGTATAAAGAATGATCTGAAGTCATTGTGCTGTATTTATGTTTATTCACCAGTCTTTGATTAAATAAAAAGGAAAACAAGAAAAATGACTGCTTCTTTTTCTTCTTTCTGGTAGTTAATTTTGTCTTTTTAAACCTTTTACAATTTTGTTTCCTAATTTGTAAGAGTACCACTGTTTGTCTTACATCTATTCATGCTAATTTGTTATTAAAAAATTTATATTATGAATTGAAGACCTTAGCATTTTTTCAAAACCAGGTTGCTGAGATGTCATATATTCTGGCCCTCATCTGACTGTCCTGCACTCTGACACAACAAATTAACATCTAATGAGGGCTTTTTTACTCCATAGGATTAAAGACATTAAAACTGTGCATCAGAAGAATTATAAACTAGAAATTATAAGCACTCCAAAGACCTATTTGTCCTCTGGTTTCCAAACTTTTCTGGAAGTTAACCTGTTTAAAAAACAGATGATGGTTGTATATAATTTTTTAATGTACAATTTCTTAATGTTAACTACTGACTAGTGTATATAATATGGTTTAATATTAAAATTATATATTTAGCTGATCATGCAAATAAATTTAAATGAGGATTAACACTGTGACTATCTCAGCAGATTCAGATAAAGTAACCCAGGCATGGTGGTATGTGTCTGTAATTCCAGCACTTACCAGAATGATTACTGTAAATTCAAGGCTAATCTGTTCTCTATAATAAACATCAGACCTGGGTAATATGTGAGAATTTGTCTTGAAAAAGGGGAAAAATTCCTTTCATAGTTAACAAAATGACAGAATTAGAAAGTACAAACTGTTTCAAAGTGAAAGACAAGGTGCCCGTTTTACCTTGCGTATTCAGAATGCTGTTGAACATCTTAGCCACTAGCACAAAACACCATGAGCCAGAAGCAGCATTCAATTTTGAACATTTTATGATTTTTATTTGAAAAATGGCAAACCTTAATAAATCAAGGAAGAACTCAGTAGTAAGGTTTAGTTAGGCAGCAAGACAGGATGCTGGTTTTCACAGTTTTACACGAGTTAACTGAAAAGCCAGAAGACCTCCTTCCACAGTAGCCTGCGCCACCAGTATATTATCTTGAGATTGCTTTGGGGTCCACTCGATTGCCTCGCAAAGGACCTAAATGAGCTCTGGATTCAGGAAAAGATAGTGTGTTGTTGCTTCAGGGAAAGGAGACAGAGCTGAAGGGAACAGATGAATTCTTTCACACGATAGAAAAGAATGTTAAAGGGTGGAGACAGAAAGCAGTGCTCTAGAACTCCAAGAGAGTAAGATTAATGCTTAGACCATCTAACAGACCTTAAGATAAGGTCAGCTCTTGATTGAGGAGAGTATTTTTGGGAATTTAAGACAGGATCTATGTAGACAGGATCTATGTAGCTTACTGCTTCTTTTTCATACTGACTTCTTAGCTTCATGCTCTTTTTTTCTTTTTCTTTTGGTGTGTAATCATTAAGATTAACTCAGAGGGACTTGGAGAGATGCCTCAACTGTTAAGAGTACTTGTTGCTCTTACAGATCTGGGTTCAATTCCCAGCTCTCACATGGTAGGTCTGCAATTCATGGGTACACATACACAAAATACAAGCAAGCTTTAAAGGGCAGAGCTAGAGAGAGGGCTCAGTGTTTAAGAGCACTGACTGTTCTTCCAATGTACCCATGTTAAATTCCAAGCCCCACATAGCTTGGAATTCCAGGGGATCTGACATCTTCACGCCAATGCATATTAAATAAATAAATGAATAAATAAATAAAAGGTAAAAGCTTGGCACAACTTCCAAGATTTAGACAAAAGACCAAATCTAGGAATCCATGGGCTAGAAGGGTCTGAAATAACTAAAAACACAGAAAATGCACTTAATGAAATTAGAGATTTTTTTTCGATGCTACAGAAAGAATCCAAAGGCATGAGGCATTTAGAACCCCCAGTGGGCGTGATCAGAACACTTATTCAGTGTACACTGTACAAAAGAACATTAAAAGAAGTAAAAGTGTCAAGTCACAAATGGAAACGTCAGAATAACAGACTTCTCAACAGAAACCCTGGACGTCAGGAAAGCATGGGATGATAGATTTCAAGTTTTGGAGGTTAAAAAAAAAACAAAAAACTACCAACCTATCAAAACTGTTTTTTAAACTCATGGAGAAATAAAGCCTTTTCAAACAAGCACACATTGTTGCCATTCACGATCACAGAGTGTACTTGGAGAATCCTAGACACAGAGAGGAAAGGAGAGGCTCAGCCAAGAGAACATGGGAAAGAATAAATTTCATCAGAGGAATATACACAAGCAAAGGAGAACTAAGGAACAATCCACGTGCCCAAAACAATAAGCAAACTTCTAATCAAAATAGGAAAGAAAAGAATGAACATCCCGACCAACCAGAAAAAAACAACAAAATGTGTAGGAATTGTCAATAATAGTCTGAGCTGCTGGGCATGGTGATGCCAGAGTTCCAGTATTAAAGAGATTCAGGTAGCTACAACTTTGAGGCTAGCCTGGACTACTTACTGAGTTCCAGATCAGCCTTAGTACCAGAATGAGAACCTTGACTTCAAAAGAAAAAAATAATGTTAAAAACAATGGCCTAAAGTAAACTATCTTTAACATTCAATTCAAAGAGGCAGATTGGATTAAAGAACAAGATCGAACTGTCTCTTGTCTCTAAGAAACATACCTGTGTGACATCACTCAATTTACCAGGTGAATAGAAGCTGACATAGCTATTCTGATAACTGAAAAAGTAGACATCAAACCAAAACTAGAAGAGACAAAGTCACTACATATTAGTAAAAATCCACTGAAAAGATACAACAATCATAAACACACACACACTATAGTTTGAATGGAGCTCCCAGTTTCATAAAGCAAACACCAGTGGACTTGAAAAGAACAGAGAGCGACTTTAATATTTCACTCTCATCAGTAGGCAGGTCCTACATACAGACTAAAAATCAATAAAAAAAAAACCTTCAGAGGTCAATTTAGGTTAAGCCAACTTAACATCTACAGAATATTCCATCTGTATTAATTTCTCACTGATGTGACCAGATACTTGATGGGGTACTTAAGGGTGGACGAGTTTGGTAAGGTTTACAGTTTGAGGAGATGAAGCCCACTATTAGTGGGGAAGGAACGTGAGAAGGTGTGGTACAGTGAGGGAAGAGGCCGATCACTGCGTCCACAGCCAGGAAGCAGAGAAAGATGAATGCTTGTATCTAGCTCCATTTCTCCTTCACTTATTCAAGGCCTCCAGCCCAAAGTGGTGCTGTCCACATTCAGTTAACCTTTGCGAAACACACAGACACGCGTAGGTGTTCCCATTGTGATTCTAAATCCGATAGGCAAGTTGACAATATTAAACATTAAACCCTCCAACAGCTAAAGAGTACAAATTCTCAGAAGCCCATAGAACTTTTCTCAAAAATAGACCACAGTTTAAGCCATAGAGCACATCTTCGCAAATACAAAAGGATTCAAATAATCCTTTGTATTTTAGCAGATTGCGTTCCTGAAGCATTTGCACTAACAAAGCCATAATCTGAGGGGTACCCCCATAGACCTTTCTTGAACTAACGTGCACGCCCAAGTTTCTAGTGAGTGATTAGTCCTACTTCTAACATTTTGGACCCAGAGTCCATAGTCTTTCCTCCCTCCCTCTTATTACACACACACACACACACACACACACACACACACGGGCGCGCGTATGCCAGGTACGATTCTAGGCAGTCTACCAATATTAACTAATAGAATTCTTTTATCTACTCAGAAGCGGACCTCCCGCTAGTATTATAAAGGGAGAAAAGGTGAGGCAGAAGAACCCTGAGAGGTTAGCCAGGCACGTCACACTTTTCCGGATGTTGGCGCCAACTCCACCCTTCACCAACAGCTCTGGAAAGCATCTCTGGGGACCCCGAACGAGGCTACACAGGCAGATGAGCTGGGGCGTCTGCAGTATCCAGTGACGCCGGAGGAGCTGGAGGCGACCCTGGACTGAAGAATGGGGTCATCAGGTGGATCCCCAAGTGCAAACTGGAGGTGGGGTCCGAGGAAAAGCAGGGCTCCTAGGGAGGCGGGATCGCTTTGAAGCACTGCGGGGCCTGGAAATGAGGCACCTACAGGGGCAGGGCCTTGGGCGTTCTAGGTGAGAACGAATACCTAGACCCAAGGGTTGGACCAGATAGACGGCCCTATGGACACAGGGGCGGAACGGTCCGGGTTCCCGGACGGAGAGGGGGCAGGACCAAGGCGGGGCGTAGACGAGTCCCGGGGGAAGGCCGGGGGCGGGGCGTTTCCGAGGTTCGGGTCATCTCTGGGCTGGATAAGGAGGATTATTTTATGTGTACGGTTGGGTGCGGTGGTCCTGGGTGCGGGGAGGTCACAGAAGAGCGAAATGGGGTGGTCCTGGGTCGAGTGCTGGGTGGTACAGAGGGTGGACCCGGAGTAAGGGAGGCGCAAAGGGTGTTCGGAGGTGGGGGGGAGGGCGGTCCCGAGGGGCGGGTAGGGGTGTTGCCAGGCAGTACTGAGTACGGGCCTTGGGTTCGGGGCGGTCTCTGCGTCTGAGTGCTCCTCTCGCCCTAAGCACAGTCCCGCTAGCCAAACCCTGCCCGCCACGGGTTTTCCTGCTGGGTGCTCGTCAGCATGTCCTATATTCCGGTGGCCGAGGACTCGGACTTTCCCATCCAAAACCTGCCCTATGGCGTTTTCTCCACTCAAAGCCACGTGAGCTTGGGCTCGGGCGCGGGGAGGTGGGAGCTCCGGTTGGTTCCTCCCGAGCCTCGGTGGAAGGCGCCTGTGGCTCGAATGCGACTGTGCAGGATGTTGAAATTCAGTCTCTGCTTCTGTGGGGTTGTGCGAGAACCAGATGCAAAGAGATAAGGGAGTTATCACCCCTCGCCTGGACAGCAGGCCGGTGCGATTATTGTGATCTAGAAATGGACGTGTAGTCCTGTCGGCCGGGTGGTCGTTCACTTTACTGCTAGTCCTTGACCCTACAACCTGGAAAGTACCAGCTGACTCCCATAATTTTTGAGCAAGCACTTCTTGGCCTGTGCAGTCTAAGACACCAGGTTCTCTAGCCTAAATTCTTTCTGCTCTAGTGTGACCTGCTGGGCATTCCCTGAACTGATCACAAGCCCAGTGGGGCAAGAGAAACAAACTTGGACTTGTGTACATAGTCCGATTAGAAAGAAGTCTTTGAAAACGGTTTTAGTGGAGCTGAGTTATCAGCAAATACATAGGGGTCCTCAGGAAGGCAAAGCACATCCTTCCGAAATGTTTGTGGCATTTTCTGCTTGCGTTTTGCTCACACTGTTGGTTCAGTGTTGTAAGCCAGAGAGCCAAGGGAACTGCGCGCACCTAATAGGAGTCAGAATATTTTTTGCCAGGAATGACAGGTAGCAGAGGCAAAGTGCTTGGCTAGCAGGCACCAACAGAAGGAAGGAAGAAAAGGATTCCTGGCAGTTGGTCCGCTTCTCCATTTGTTGCCCAGAGGACTGCCCTTTTGTATCCTGTCTGTGCTGAACGCCTTGGTCAGAAGAGCTAACTGCTGGTTTCACAACCACCAGGCATGATGAGTAGATGTTGCAAGGATGCAAAGTTAATGGGTCACCCTTTCCACATAGGAGGTGTGTGGAGCCTTAACCTGTGCCAGCCAACCACCTTCTGGGGGCAGAATACTCCCTCTGGCTCAGGACAGTACTGTGCCCTCAGCAGAGATGCTCTCAGCCTTGTTTGGGAGCACCAGGCGGGTCAGGCAGGAAGGTTTGTGCATGCAAAGCCCATCCTCAGCACTTGGCTGGGTAGTAAGGGGCTCTGGCTTACCCTCGCAGGCGAATCCGGAGTTACTGTTCTTTTATGTGCAACTAGAGGCTTTCCAGACACCATACTCTGCCGTTTCTTTATCATCATCATTGCCACCACCATCATCATCATTTTGGGTTTTTGGGGTTTTTTGTTGTTTTGTTTTGTTTTTTCAAGGCAGGGTTTCCCTGTATAGCCATGCCTCCTCTGGAACTAGATCTGTAAACCAGGCTGACCTCAAACTCAGAAATCTGCCTGCCTCTGCTTCCTGAGTGTGGGATTAAAGGCGTGTGCCACTATGCCCAGCTTCTTTTGTTTTCAAGTAGTAATAAAAATTTAATTTTTAATTTTGAAATTTAATTTTTTGAGAATTTCTTATGTAAGCACTGCATCTACATCATTCCTGCTTCTCCCTCTCCTCCCTCCAACTTCTCTCTTCCCCCTCCCAAATTCATGATCCCTTCTTTATTGTTGTTGCATGTTATATTTATATGTATATATAACCCCTTAAATGCATTTAGCTTTGTTCATATGTACATGTGTCCAGGGCTGGAATTGCTAGGAATTGGTCAGTTTGTACAGGAGTTTGTTCCTGGAGGTAACTATTGATTGAGCTCCTGTAGCTCTTCATCTGGGGGTGGGACCATGGAGAATTTCCCATCAGTATTGGCGGACCAACTGGTGTTGTTGTGCTGGCAACTATATTGTTGAGAGTTCCTAGGTGTCATTCCCTGGTCATGTCTAGGGGAAATGATCTGTCAACAGGTGTCCTGGGCCACCGACTCTTACTGTCTTTCTGCTCCCTCATGGGTGATTTTTTCCTGTGCTGCTGGAGTTGGGATTGCATTGCAGATATAGCATGGGATTGGGCACCCAGGATGAGTTAGTGGTCCTCTACATTTTGACCATTAGAGAGCCACCTAATGGTTTCTATCTATTGCAAAAAGATACTACTTTGATGAGAGGTGAGAATTACACTTACCTGTGAGTATAAAGATACATATTTAGAACACACTTAGGCATTGCACTGGTTTAGGAAAATGACAATAGTAGGTTCTTCTCTTGAGTCTGTGACCTCGCCAGCCATGGGCAGTTGGCTTGGTTTATAGTAACAGGCATGGGTTACCTCATGTTGAGCAGGCCATAAGTCCAACTAGACAGCTATTGGTTATCCTTGGGATATAAGTGCCGATATTGGTGCATTATGGGTAGCTTGCTATTCCAGTGGTAGTTGTGGCTCATGGGCATTAGGTCTGGATAGAACTGCCGATTACTCCTCTCCTTCGACAGCTGTTGTAGCACCAAAGTGACTCAGCACAATTTATAGGCCTTGTTCATGTATGACCAGGCAGGTGATGCCTATGATTAGGTCACAGAGGTGATGCAATGATAGCGGTTCTTTCTTGCCTTCAGCAAGGCTTAGGATGATTGCCCCATGGTCTGTCCTGGTGTAGGAGGTTCTTCTGTTCATGTGTTGCTTTCATTGGTTAATGAATAAAGAAACTGCTTTGGGCCTGATAGATAGGAACTTAGGTAGGCGGAGAAGACAGAACTGAATGCTGGGAGGAAGAAGGGCAGAGTCAGAGAAGCCATGGATCCTCTGCCTGAGATGGACACCGGTTAGAATCTCCGGTAAGCCACAGCCATGTGGCGATACACAGATTAATGGAGATGGGTTAAACTAATATGTAAGAGTTAGCCAATAAAGAAGTTAGAGCTAATGGCCAAGCAGTGTTTTAATTAATACAGTTTCTGTGTGGTTATTTCGGATGTAAGCTAGCTGGGTGGCTGGGACAAACAAGGGACCCTTTCCTTGTAACACCGTCCTATACATCACCCAAGCGGACTGTTACCAGGATCCGTGTAGCTCAGCTCACTCAGCTCTGTGTTCTTTGAAGCAGAGTAGGGAGACTGAGGCCCGCAGAGCTACAGAGCTGAGGACATATGGGTTCACTGGTGAAGCTTCTCAGGGTCCTGTGGCCTTGGTCTATCCCTAACACTTAGGGTGTGCTTTGCAGATGCTTCTCTGATGTAGGTGGGTCTTCTTTCTATTTGTTGCTTTCATTGGTTAATTAATAGAGAAACTGCTTGGCCCGATAGGTCAGAACATAGATAGGTGGAGTAGACAGAACAGAATGCTGGGAAGAAGGGAAGTGAGGCAGATGCCATGGAACCAGCCACCAGGTCAGATATGCTGAATCTTTCCCGGTAAGCCATGACCTCATGGTGCTACACAGATTATTAGAAATGGGTTGAATCAATATGTAAGAGTTAGCCAATAAGAGGCTAGAGCTAATGGGCCTGGCAGTGTTTAAAAGAATACAGTTTCCGTGTAATTATTTTGGTGGTAAGTTAGCCGGGTGGCGGGACACCGCCCCCCCCCCCCCGCTCCTTCTACAAATGGCGCCAACGTGTGGACAACTGCTCCTTCTACACTTCACTCTGCCCACTGAAAGGAGCAGGCACTGAAGACAGTGTCAGCCAAGAAGTCCGCCTTTCAACTCCTATGAAATCCCTAGAATGGCAGGACTGTTGGTTCAGGTGCCAAGGAGGTCTGGCTTAGGACAGAGTTCCAGGAGGTGAAGTCTTCCAACGTGCTTAGTGTTGTGGGGCCAGGGGCCAGCCTTGACAAAATATTTGGTCCGCGGTATCCATCTGAACTCCTGCAGAGCTTTTATGTGGGCATAAGCAAAATTTATTCTTGTGGTCAGAGCACCGTTGCTTCTTCAGCACCCTGCTACCTGAGTTCTGTTGAGTTCAGGCTACCACAGAGCCGTCGCTCCAAGTTACAACATGTGAAGCACTCACTGCTCTGCTTCGTAAGAGAATGGCCCCAAGCAAAGTCCTAGGCCCAGTATGAAAAGGAATTCAGGTTCTTGGTAAGGTGGTGAGCAGCTCATCACTAGATGCAGGCAAGCAATGCTGGGAACTTTGCTTCCACAGGCTACCTGTTCTTCCTCTAGTCTATGGGGGAAGGAATTTGATTAATTTCCCATCAAGAGATCATAACTTTGCTTTCTTTCTTATCCTGGATCCTGGTCTTCCGTCCTCTCCTTATGAGGGTTGTCCCAAAGGAACCCACGAGTCCCTAAGTATTGGGTTTCTGTTACAGTGAATGAACTGTAACAGAACTGACTATCAGAACTGACTGTGTCTTTCTCCTCCCAGCCAAAGCCACGGATTGGTGTGGCCATCGGTGACCAGATCTTGGACCTCAGTGTCATTAAACACCTCTTCACCGGACCTGTCCTTTCCAAACACCAGCATGTCTTCGATGAGGTAGGACGCTGTGTCATGAATCGTGGCCATTTTACTACCTACTGTGAATGAGATAGTGTTTCCTTAGTCACAGCTTATCCCTGGGTAAGTGGGAGCTGTTCTGAGACATATAGGTGGCAGGAGGTAGCCTTGACGCCTTAGGGTGGTCTCTCAGCAGAATGTGAGCTCCTGACTCCAGTGTGTCTCTCCAAGTTGCCCATGAGATGAGGATAGAATATAACTCTGGTTTCTTTTTATCCTGGGCTATTCACGCTTTGGTCTTTCAAGGCCCAGGACAACGTTGAGATAAGGAACCATGACCCTTACAGTCCAGATTTGGGGTACAGCTTGACACAGTCATCCTGGCCTTCTTGTTTGTGGGGGTTGGCTGCCCAGTCCTTCAAGAGAACAGTCCTGGAGTATAACATGAGGGGCCGGCTTGTTGGGGTTTCTGTCCCGCCCGGTACCCCACAGCCGGCATACCCCAAGGAAAATCACACACAGGACTCCATAAGATTATAAACTGATTGGCCCATTAGGTCAGGCTACTTATTAGCTCTTATAACTTATGTTACCCCATTATCCTTATCTACGTTAGCCACATGGCTCAGTACCTTTTCCAGCGGGGGTGGGGGGTGGGGGGACAGCTTACATCTTTGCTCTCCGGTGGTCTGGGCAGAAGGAGCTTCCTGCTTCCCAGAATACTCCCAGTCTCTTTGCTCCACCTCTACTTCCTGTCTGGCTTTCCCGCCTATACTGCCTGCCTGGCCAATCAGTGTTTTATTAAAATATGATTGACAGAATACAGACAATTCTCCCGCATCACTGGAGCATCCATCCTTGTTTGTACCTGCATAGAGTGACTGCCCTGCCCTCAAGGCATGCAGTAGTGCCAGGGGACAGCCAGTTTGGCCTCCATGTCTATGGGAGATGGGTCTTTTCTCCCTCATCACAGGTCGGCTTGTAGGATCCGCTTTTTCCTGACACACAGGCAGGGGTGCTTGTGGTGTTCCCTGAGCACCTCTTTTGTGCAGGAGCTTTGTATACATCTTCCCTGTCGGTCTTCCTGGCCACCCTCTGGCCCAGAGTCAGCATTGTCACTAGAGAAGTGGGACTTGTGCAGTTTGTGGGTGGCTGTCCACATAATAGCTACTGAGCATCATGCAGGGGAGGGGATATCCAGGAATAGACAGGGACATCAAGAAAGGGGACCAGCTTTCTCTTGCTCTATGCAGAGAGAGGACAAACATATGGACAAGGGTCCCAGCTTGTGAATGCATGGAGAGAGCGCAGACTCTGGCAGGAGAGATGGCTCGAGGACTTTCTCAGGCGTAACCGTCTCTAATCCTGTTTTGGCCTTAGACAACTCTCAACAGCTTTATGGGCCTGGGTCAAGCTGCCTGGAAGGAGGCAAGAGCAGCCTTGCAGGACTTGCTGTCTGCCAGCCAAGCCAGGCTCAGAGATGACAATAAACTTCGGCAGCGGTGAGGAACACACGGGAAAAGAGGGACATGGCAGGGGGGGATGAGGCCAGGGTAGTTGGCAGTGCCCTTATGCATCGTTGCTTGGCTGCCTGGCAGCTTCACTCAGCCCTGTTCTGGGTTGCATGCGGTGGGAGGGCTCTGGGCCTGAAAGACCGGATGGAGCCCTTGATTCTGTGTTTCAGCGCCTTCGTCTCCCAGGCTGCTGCCACAATGCACCTTCCCGCGACCATAGGTGAGTCCTGCTTCCCTGTTAGGTCATCCAGAGTAGCTCAGGGGGCCTGGATGGCTGGGCAGATGCTTGGATCCCTGTATCTTGGTGGGAAGAATACAGAGTGAGGACGTTAGGATTGCCTGCTGATCCCAACATGACCAAGCTCAGCAGACGGTTAGCCTCGGCTCAGGTTGTCTCAAGCCTGCTCTCCCAAAGAAATAACAGCCTAAGTTTGTGACTACCTACATGTCTCCCTGAACAGCAATTTGCTCCTTCTTCCCAGAAGGTTGTGGGGGAGGCACTGTGAGCTGTCAGAAGAGTTTTGAGGAAATCTAGAAGGCCCTGCAGGGCCCATGTGTGCTTGGCATCTGATTTGACCGAATCAGCAAGTTGCTGGCTGAAAATGAGATGGGTCCATCAGCCTGAGGCCAGGTGTAGGCTGTATCCTATGTCAACCAAGAGAGGGAGCCTCTGCTCTTACCTGGACACCTGTGATCTGAGAGCTTTACAGTTCAGCCTGGAAGGATGGGATTCCCTGAACCCATTTCTCCACGCAGCAACGTCTTGCAGAGGTGCTAATGCCCACAGCTAAAGGTGGGAGGTGGGCGTGAGGATGGGCTCATCTCTTGCTTCCCTTCAGGACTGTGCTCTACTTTCACGGCAAACTAGTCATCTTCTCGGGGTCCTTCATCCTTTCCAGTTAACGGATGCTGTGACTTCCTGTTTCTTCTGTCATGGACCTGATTATTTTGTGACAAACACACTCGCTCTTGCTTCTGTGCACAGGCCTGGAGGTGGGAAGTAGTGAGCAGGGCTCAGGCTGGCTGCCCCTTGCTTAGCTGACTCCCAGACTGTGCCCTCTCCTTCTCTTTCCATCTCCACTTCTCGTCCAAGCTGCTAGGATTGGGGTACTCAGCTTTGCTGTGGGGGCGGTGGTGGTCCAAGGTTCAGGAAGATGGGTAAGCAAAGTACCATAAGTGGGCTTCCTGGCAGATCTCGGTAATTCATTCACATGTGAGAGAGGGACGCCTGGAGCCTATGAACCTCCACGTTCAGCTCATCACAATCATTAGGCACTGATATACAAGTTCAAATACAGAGACAAGATGCCTTGTTCTTGGTGCTGAGGGCCAGTCACGTGAAATACGGGCCGAGCTGAGACCGACCTGAATGGTGACAGTTTCTCAAAGATCTGCTTGCTTGGGACTGGAGCACAGTGAACCCACTCCAAAGAAGGGTTCAGAAGGGGACCTAGGCCTCGCCAGGATTTAAACCGACAGAGGGAAGGGAGAAGTGCGGCTAGCGAGCAGGCTTATGTTAAACAAAGGCACACCAAGGGTTGTCCATGTGAGGGTAGTAACAGTTCTCTGTGGTCCAGGTGGGAGGGAGCGGGGCAGCCATTTCATATTTAAATCTCACTCTCTGACTCAGGAAGTGTATGTTACTTTTTCCTGAGGGGGTCCTTGAATGTTGAAGAGGGGTGTGAGCCCCTTCTCTTGGGACTAGGCTTCCTCCCTCTGGATCACTGGCTGTTTGGGGTCTTCCTTCTGCAGGAGACTACACAGACTTCTACTCCTCTCGGCAGCACGCCACTAACGTTGGCATTATGTTCAGGGGCAAGGAGAACGCGCTGATGCCCAATTGGTATGTCCTAGACCAGACGTTGGGATGAATTCGAAATCATCTCTCTCTCCCCAGGAGCTGCAAAGACCCCCCCTTTGGTCAAAGCAGTCTAGGAGGAAAACTAGAATGGATCATGTCACGGCCTCTGGAAACAGCAGATCTCGCTTCTGGTCCCCTCAGACTTTAGGGGTGGGGGACTATGAAAAGCCTGTGGGTCGGTCGCTTCAGCTCCCCTCTGGAGAACAGACATGGGAATTAATCCCCTGCGATGCTTGATTGACCTTTAGATTCTTTTGCTGGCCAACTGCCTATGTTCTTTTATTTCCTCTCTATAGCCTTGTCTTCCAAGCATCCTCTGAAAGTGTTCCCCAGCCTTGGAGAGCTATTGTTCTGAGCAGGGCCCACAAAGGAAAGCAGCAGAACTCTTGTCTGTAGTCAGAGAAACTCAGGTTTTTTATTTTTCCTCTACTTTCTCCCCCTTACGGTGGAGCTAGTCCCAGCTGGCCTAGAACCTACTATGTACATCAGGCTGCTACAGGCTTGTGGTCCTCCTCTGCCTACATAGGGCTGGGATTGCTGGCACACCCTGCCACCTTTTCTTCTTAAACCTGAATCTTCCCCTCCGCCCCCCATGATGCACTGTGTTTGGTTTCTCCATTCGTTTTTCCATGGACACTTGGGCACATGTTTGACCTTTTGAACAATAAGTGTGTACTGACTCTATTTCTTTTTGAAGTTTATTTTACACCGCATGTAACATCTCTGGCACCCACATCCTTTCTCCCTCCTTTGTTAGGCTCCACTTACCCGTGGGATACCATGGCCGGGCTTCCTCCATTGTGGTATCTGGCACCCCAATCCGAAGACCCATGGGACAGATGAGACCTGATAACTGTAAGGGACTCCAAATACCCAGGCCCTGGCAACACCCAGCTCTGCCCCGTTGCTAGGAGCTCTGCAGTCTGGTGTTGATGGCTGCTTTTATCTGCTGTCTTCCCCAGCAAAGCCTCCCGTGTATGGTGCCTGCAAACTCCTGGACATGGAGTTGGAGATGGTGAGTTATGTGCCGAGCTTTACTGAGTGGGATCCACAAAGGCCTGCAGCAGGCGAGCTCTCTTTCTGGGGCAGCAGTTCACACCCGCCCAGCCACAGATAGCAGCCCCGTGACCCCATGGGACCATTGATGCTGATGCCCTTTCTTCAGGTCCTGTGTTTGTGAATTCACCTACTCGCTAAACTTATTTGCAACCCAAATAGTAACACAAGTCATTGCCACAGGGAGAAGTGGAAAATCTGAGTCTCCTGATTGCACACACTTGTCCCCAGTGGAGGTCACACCAGGCTCCCTGTCTTCTTCTTTCAGATCTCATTCTATAAACATGTGTTATTTTTCTGGTCTACCCCCCCCCACTTCGTATTTCCCACATACTCATGTGCTTTGAGTTGATTTTGTTATTTATTGTGTCCCCCGAGTGGAGAGCCTTTGTGCATTCCTAACTCCAAGAGGGCAGAGGTCCCTTATAGACCCGTGCTGGAAAACCATCCTTTATTCCCTGCAGCTCTTGACGGGGAATTCAGTGTTGATGAGCTGACGCTATAGCAGATGCTGTTAACAAAAAGAAGTAAAGTGTAGTTAGATAAACCAGCTGACTGTTCAGTTGGTGAGTGCTGCAGCCAGAGGCTGCGGAAACCATCCCTTTGCTTCTGGTGGGAGCAGCGTTTCACCTCTTCCATTCTCATTCGTGGTGATTTTATATGTTCATATGTGAGCAACAAGCATCAAGTCACCCTCTCCACCTCGTTATACCTGTGGCAGGGCCTGCACCATTTCAGAAACAAGCTTACACCAAGGCTCCCCCTTTTTTTTAAACATTTATTTATAATTTAAAATCTTTTTTTCCCCAAGTTTCCCCTCCCTTTTCTCCTCCCAGTCAGGCTCCGCTTTTTATTTAAATTACGCATTTATTATGAGAGTGCCAAAGACCCGCGGACAGCTATGAAAAATGAGGCGGAGATCCCCTGGTCTTGAACGTGGGGGCATCCTTCATGCCTCGGTGCCCTCGGATCTTTTTTCTTTTTATCTTGATTAAAACTTTGCCCTGTCACCACACAAATAAAACTGACCCTGACGTCATGAATGTAGCTGATTCTGTGCTCTTGAAGGAGTCGCCCCCACCCCACCCTGCCCTACCTGCACCTTTTAGTTTCCCATGGACATGACTGGATGTTCTGTTGGTTCATGGCTGTCACAAACATCTCATTCATCTGGGGACAGGTTGGGCTGTGAGGCACTGTGTCAGGTGCTGTGGTATGAGTCTACCTGATGCTTCAATTCTTCACGAGCATATGGAGTATAGGGAACAAAGAAAGGAGCAGAAACTGTCATGGGGCTGCTAGGAAAACAGGGCACACGTGAGTGCAGTTCTCGTCTTAGAGATCCAGTGAATTAGCAAGCACCTGGTCCCCAGGCTGGACATACTTTCCCTTTCCCTTTGCCCTGCAACCAGCAATGACCCCGAATGACAGGCCGTCTTTTTTCTTTTTCCTTTTTTTTTTTTTTTTTTTTGGTTTTCCGAGACAGGGCTTCTCTGTAGCTTTAGTGCCTGTCCTGGAACTAGCTCTTGTAGACCAGGCTGGCCTTGAATTCACAGAGATCCGCCTGCCTCTGCCTCCCGAGTGCTGGGATTAAAGGCGTGCACCACCACCGCCCGGTTTACAGGCCGTCTTGATTCTAACCGACTTTCCCTGTGACAGGCTTTCTTTGTAGGCCCTGGGAACAGATATGGAGAGCCGATCCCTATCTCCAAAGCCCACGAGCACATATTTGGGATGGTCCTCATGAACGACTGGAGTGGTAATTACCTAGCGGCTCGGCTTCAGCCGCTGCTCTGTGCACGGGCACATGGGGGTTGAATGTGGGACAGGAAGCCCAAGGACTAAAGGGGGCTGCCACACAGACATGTAGCTCTGAGGATGTGGGCCAATCACAGCTTCCCCTAGGGGCTTCCTCATACAAGGAAAGTCGGTACTGACAGTACCTAAACCTTTGTCAAGCCCCGCCCATCTCCACTCCCTGTTACCAGCACCAGCATCCCATTCTGCTGATGAAGAGCTAAGTGTGGAGGGATTTTAGCCAGTGACTGAGCTGAGACTTCAAGTTCAGCAGCCTAGCATCTGAGCCCCAGCTCTCCACCCCGATACCATGTGTAAAAGGAAGTGGGTTCACACGTCCCAGGAGAGGGCCTCGCCCACTCAGGGATTGCCCTGTTACCCTTTGTTGTACCCTGGCACCGTGCCTCCTAGGACCTCTGTCTTCACACAACATTCTTCTTTTCGTTCCTCTGTAAACGGAGGCTGCTGTACCGTTCCTGGCTGCCCAGACCTGAATAATCACATAGAAACTATATTAACTACAACGCTACTTGGCCAATAGCATAGGCATATTCCTGGATAACTCTTATAACCCATTTTTTATTAATCTGTGTATCGCCATAAAACTGGCCTACAGGTAAGGTTTTGGCATTCTGATGTCTTTCTTCTTTGGCAGTTACATGGCATCTCTCTGACTCTACCTAGTCTCACTATCTATCTATCTATCTATCTATCTATCTATCTATCTATCTATCTATCTATCTAT